ATATATATATATATATTTGTTGCATAAATGTTTAGGTATTGTAATATGATAATCCTAGTATAGTTTTTTTTTTTTTGTATTTTCGTTGCTTAGATGTTTCATGTTTATAAAGTGTAATGATTTATTAAGTTGTTATAATTATCGATTGACAAGCACACGAATAATACATTATTTTCTTCATTGATCATATTTTTGATAGATCTATCAATGAAATTTTAGCTACATATTTTGCTAATGAATTTATCTAATAACAGTTATCAACATTTTTTTATATGAAATTATAGACTGATTTTATAATGAAAAATTACTGACAAATTTTTTCGTTAGAAATTACTTACAAATTTTTCCGTGAAAATTTATTGACATTTTTTTCCTATGGGTAAATATTTTTTTAATTGGATAATTTATATTATATTAAATTCCAATAATTTCTTTCAATATTTCTTTTCGGCACTAAAATCCTTTATAGACAACAAAAAATTACTGTACTAATTATGATACACTCCTTCTAGACTCAAATATAAGGAAAAAGAATATCTACAATTTTTAGACTTTTTAAATATTAGTAAATTATAACTAATTTGACCTTATTTAATATTATTATTTTAAAATAAATATTAAATTAAATATGATTATTGTTTTCAATAAATATTATTAAGGGTGATTTAGGAAGTAAAGTTTAGTTTTTTTTATTTATATGAAATCAATAAAAATAAATAAATTTAACTAATCTTTTTAATATGTATGAATTGATTTTTTTTTTACTTATAAATGAGTCCAAAGGACCACCATACAATGATTACAATTTAAATTTTTTTACAAATAAAATTAAATAAAATAATAAACATATCACATTTTGATACATTTTACTAAAATAGTCTCACTCTTCCAATAAATACATTACTATTGTGGTAATTGAATAATTTATGAGAAGATAAATTAAAAAAATATTAATATTATATAAAAAAAGTAAAAATATTAATTATTTTAAGATATTTTAAATCTTTTTCATTCATTTTTTTAATTAGTTTTCCTACTTTTATGATAAACATCAAATGCATTGAATTTGCTATTTAATACTTTTTTATAAAGAAGTAAAAATTAAATATGAAAATATAATAATATTCTATTGCATATCATAAAATACAAAATACAAATAATTTGGTCATGATTCATGTGTTAGACTTTTCCAACTTCGCATATGTGTAAAAATCTTAGTTCTTGTCATTTTTAATAAAAAGAGAATTCCATTCTCATCCATAATTCTTTGAGTTAATTTTTTTCTCTTATTTATAATTCTTTAAACATAAGCTAATTTAAAAAGTCAACATGCTATTCCAAAGAATATAAAATTTATTAAATTATGTGATCAAAAGGACAATATATTTAAACGTATGATAAATTAATACACTGATTCACCAATTTTCTGTCATTTGAGTGGATGATAAAAAGATTTCCTTACGATTAATAATATCAAAGAAAGAACTAATATTCAATTAGGAGCGATGAAGGATAAGAAGAATTATCTTTACTTTTATGTCATGTAATTTTTTTTATAAAGGATAACGTCAATTGATGTGTTAATTTAAAATAACTTACCAAGTTATTGTAATATGATTTTTGAGATTTATGATTAATATGTTTCTCAAATTTTATCATTTATATCTCATTTTAAAGTTTGGTCAAAATCAATGTTTTTTACATTTATCTTACTTTTTCAGTTTTTTTTAATAGATAATAATGTAACTATTACTCAAGTTTTTTTTAATAGATATTAGTCATATTAAGAATACAATATCATTAAAAACATTAAATTGATGGAGAAAATTTCTATGCAAGGTTTGAAATAATATTTTTAATTAATTAAATCAATTTATAAAAATATACATGTAATCAAAATCATAAATTTAACTAATTCATTCAATTATGTACTAAATTTATGATTAGCAAGCCTCTCTCTCAAGTTTTAATATTGAAAAAGTAGCAATGCATGGACATGAGTTATATAGAAAGGGTGGGATAGCTAGCCCCAAGATTTAACGCGGCTGCATACACAAGGCAGGATTCGAACCCCTGACCTTGCTTAAGCGTGGATCAACCCCTACCGCTGAACCAGACACTTGGGGTTTTACAACTTGTGAGTATATACATTAGTGTATATAAGTAATAATGAGTAGTCCCTCTTATATTACTTTTTTATTATTTTATTTTAAAATTTAAATTTAGTATTAATGAAATAAATTAATTTTTTATCGTGTAAATTTTAAAAAACAAACTAGAACGCATATTTAAAAAACTTGAACGTATTTTTTTATCATTCAATTACTAACGTAGTTCACTAGAAATGCTTGGCTATAGTATCAATGGTTTTTTACATTTCTTTAAGTGTTTTACCCTTTTTAACATATATTATTGTAATTATTATTAGCTATCGAAATTAACATATTATGAAATATATATTTGGTTAAATACTTCATTTGGTCCCTTACAATGTTTTTTTGTTTCAATTTAGTCTCACTTTAATTTTTGGTCTCAATTTGGTTCTCAATAACTTAAATTGAAACAAAAAAACATTGTAAGGGACCAAAAGAGATATTTAACCTATATATTTTATGCGAATAAACTAATCGGTTGTCAATTATAAAGAAGTGTATTTATGTATAATTGACAATTTTGAAAAGTCACATAGTAGAAAATTACATACAATATTGAAAATATACTCCATTTGATTACATCATGTTTTTTCAAATTTAAATTTTAAATTAGACATAGACCTGATACACAGATAAAAAATAAATTATTTAAATTAAAAAAATATTATTTTATTAGTTAATATATAAATTATATATAATTTTTTAATTATGTAATATACGTTTCTTATTATTTTTTTCAACAGATAAGTTTATTATTATTTGTAAATAAAAAATATTTTTTTATATTAATATTTATATAATATTTCATCCTTTATTTTTTTGTTAGATTCAAATTCAAAAATATAAGATTCAAGTAAATAATCTTTTAAAAAGTTCATAACTAAAGTTAATATATCCAAATAAATATTTTTTATAACTAAATTATAAAACAGTCTATTTCAATATTTTATTAAATTAATAAATCAATAATAAAAATATATACATACATTCATTATTTTTAAATATGTAATTCTTCATATATAAATTTAATTATTGATAGGTTTGCCAATTTTTTTTATAAAATTAATATTAATAAAAATTTATTATTATTTTTTTATTAATGAACATAAATGTCAATTAATAATAATTATTAGATTTTGACAAAAGTAATTTTTTTAATAATAATTTATAATTAACATTAATATTTTAATTACTATAATATTTATTATTTTTTTGAAATGGAGAATTTAATCAGATTAAATTTCTTAAATAGTAAATTAATAATTGAATATTTTAATCTACAATTAATATTAATTAATATTGCTTCATTTTTATTTATAATTAAAATTAATTTATTTGTAACTGAAAATTTAACAAAATTTAATCTTTTAATTAATAAAATCATTAATTCGTATATAGTTGCATATTGACAAGTAATTTAAAATTTAAGTTCAATGTAAGTAGGAAATAAATTAGATAAAATGTGTGACAAATCGAAAATAGTAGAAAAATGAAAAAAGTAGTACTTATTTGATGTTTTACGTCACTACTTCTATTTTTGACAAAAATTATCATGTAATTGTGTATCAAATCTCATTATGTGTGAAAAATTGAGAATAGTAAAAAAAATGAAAAAACTAATACTTTCTATTTTTGACAAAGATTATCATGTGAGATGAATATTAAACAAAGAAGATAGGAAATAAATTAGATAAAATGTAAATATGTAATATAAAGGGTTGAGGAGAAAAAAAAAAGAGAAGAAAAAATAGTCCATTTCATTTCTGATAAAGATTGTCATGTGAAATGAAAAATAAACAAAAGAGGGTGAGAGATAAATTAGATAGAATGTAAATATGTAATAATATAAAAGGTAAAGAGAAAAAAAGAAAGAAAAAATAGTATCTTTCATTTCTGACAAAGATTGTCATGTGAGATAAAAATTAAACAAAAAAGATAAGAGATGGATTAAATAGAACATAAATATATAATATAAAGGGTAGAGGAAAAAAAAAGACAGAAAAAAGTAGTAACTTTTTTATGATGATGATGAAACAAAAATTAGACAATAGAAAAATGAGAGGAAAAAAAAAAGAAAGAAAAAAAAAAGTAATAACTTTTTGATGATGATGATAAAATAAAAATTAAATAAATAGAAATGAGAGTTAAATTAAATAAAATGCACGTAGATGCAATATATAGAGAGTAAAAGGAAAATATGATAAGAGAATTTGTCATATAGATAAATGTGTTGACATGATATCATGTAAAATTAATTTTATAATAACTTATTAACGTAATAGAGTGTAACTTAACTTTTATATTATAAATAGATAGATGGATGTAGTATCAATTTATATATAATAAATTTTTTTGAAAAGTCACATAATAGATCACTACATATAATTGGGAAATGGGAATATACTTAATTAATTACATCATGTTATTTCAAATTCAAATTTTAAATATAGTATCAATTTATGTATAATTAAATTTTTTGAAAAGTTACATAACAGACCACTACATATAATTAATAATATACTTAATTATACCATGCTCTTTCAAATTTAAATTTTAAATATAATATCAATTTATGTATAATTGGAAATTTTGAAAAGTCACACAGCAAATCACTACATATAATTGAGAATATACATAATAAATTAAGTCATGCTCTTTCAAATTTGAAATTTAAATGTAGTATCAGCTATTATATGTGTAATTAAAACTTTAGAATTCATGCTGACACATTATCTTATATAAGGTATTTTGGGACTTCTTTTTTGTTTAAGCAACAAATACTTACAACATAAAAATTGTAGTACTAATTTTACGGTAAAATGACATCTTAAATTCACATACTTAATCTCTCAAAAGTCACATATATTTCTAAATTGTTTTAGAATTTAAAATAATTTTAAAATGTATCACTAAAATCTTAATATATTTATACTTAAATATAGATCCTAATATCGTATTATGTATATTAAATGAATGAGAACTTTATTAGTGTTTAAATTCTTTTAGCATGGAATAGATGTAGAAAATGTATAGAGAATAATATTATCAGTAATTTTGCATAGAGACAGGAAATGTGATCATTGAGTTTACACAATATAAATATTATTGAAGTGACTAAAAAGTTTAATTGGTGTAGTTCATATTTCTATAATTTAAAATCATATAATTACTAATAATTAAATTTATATTCTATGTTATTATTTTACTTATATACTACTTTTTTTTATGTAATACTTTTGATTTGGTATAAATAATGCATTAATATGTAATGTTATACAATTTTTCCTTTCATCATATATTTAAAATTATATATAAAAAAATAATACAATTGTATATTAAAAATTTATTAAATTAAAAAATAAAATGGTTGTGCATCGCACTAGTCACCCACTTAATTAAAATAAATTAAAGTGAATATTTTCATATATGACTATATGAGAATATGACAACTACGTCGAGTGTTTTCACGAAATTGTAGCCGCATTTATTATTTTTATAATTATTGTTTTAATAGTAGATTATAATTATAATTATTAATAAAACTTTATTAATAGCTATTATAAAGTATTACAATATTATGTGTAACACAAGGTTAAGTAAGTTGTTTAGAGTTTAGTTACTCTAAAGGAAAAGATATATAAGGTTGTTTTCGAAAACAGAATCTCATAATTTTCTTGTCAAAGAAATCTAGAGAGAAGTTATAAGGAGAATGACTCTAAGATTGTGAACTCCTTTTTCTCCCAAACTTCTCTATCTGATTCATTTCTTTCCATAGACTACTAATCTCTTCTATCATTTCTTGAAATTCAGGCTAGAAAGCTGAGATCTTGGAGATTGAAGAGGTTGGGCCGACTTCTCAGAGATTCTTCTTCCTCTTCTTTTCTGGGATGTCTTTGAGCCGAATTCAGGTGAGGGAAGCTAGAATGTAGGTTGTTTGGTTGCATGTGAGTTTGGAAACTCAATTGGTGCATGATTTTGGGGAATTTATGGCTGAATTGGGGGATTTTCTCAACTTCGAGGTTTTGGGCCATTTTTGGAATTTTGATGATTTTGATGCACTGAGTGGGTGCATGTAGGATCTGTGTGTGTTTCTAGATTGTCTGATGCTTGGATATCATATTGTAAGGATTGCATGTTGTGAATTCTTCTGATGTTTAGGTTTTTGGATGGATTTTTTTAGCTTGAGGGTTACTGTTTGAATCTGCGTTGTGCACGTATTCTTGGTGCTGAGAGTGCATTCAACAGAGACAATCATTTCCTAATCGCATCGAGCGCGAGATTAGTCGTGCCAGACGTGATTTGAGATGAGAGTCTCTGGATAAGTTACGTTAAGTGTGATGAGTGCCACGCCGGGCGCGATACTAGATAGTGGCTGTGTGTGTGGCGTTTTACTAATATGGCATCGAGCGCATGGTTAGGTGCGTCGGGCATGGAAGCTCCTGGAAGTCTCTGACCATGTATGACGTATGATGCATTATTTGCATATAGTTCCTTATAACATGTGTCTAGCATAGGACTTGAGGAGAGGGAAAATGTTTTTGAACTGGAAGAGCTCACATAAAGTCTCTTGAAAGTGGTGTTTGGATAGGCCACTAGGTTGGATGAGTCTCCTCTAAGTTCTTAGCTAGTGTTGGAGCGATGTATAAGGTTGAGGGTTATTCCCCTAACCAAATGAAGGGAAGGTGCGTGGTTCCTTGCAGATAGTCGGTAGGAAAACTTCTTAAGTGACTTGGTAACACATGTTAAGGTCGTGGTAAGCCTGTATCTAACTGTGTTATACCTGACAGTGGAACCAAACTTTCAAATATGTAAGTGACATCATCTGAGTAAACTCGAGTGGGGATTAATATCCCTATTTGTTGTGGTTTCGATAGGATGAGATGTCACTTATATTGTTCTATTGTTAGGGAGATCTCCTAAGTGAATACGTGACAATGCATTAGATGATTGATATACATTGATATCTTTTGTGTTGCTTTATTGCATGATTGTTGTATGATAGAATGTATGACGTGACTCTATAAGGATGATTTTGGACTTGTTGATTGAGTACATAGAAATTTATTCTTATGCTTGTATGATTGATTTTTAAACTCTAGCTTACCCTTCTGTTTCTATGTGGATAGACTACGATGATCATAATATGTATGAAAGCAGGTTAAGATTAGGTTGAAGCGGGTTGTTGTTGGATGCTAGGGTTTTGTCCTAGTGTCAGGGTTACCATTTTGGTAGCTGGTAGGATGTGCTTGATTGACCCTAGGAGAATATCATTATTTTAGATGACTGTATATATACATAGTATTCCATTTTGTTCTTGGTGATGTGGTTTATTTTTATATGTATACATGTATGTATTTGTTATTCAATTTAATAATTCTCTTAGTTAATTAATATAGTTAGCGTGATTTCACTAAGTGTAAAGACCACGACAAGTCGTTACATTATGAATTATTAATGGTTCAATTCTTATTATCCGTTTCTTACATAAGTTTGGGCAGTAGAAAAGTTAACAAGCTTTTATCTAATTAATGGTATTTTAAAAAGATTACTATATCGTTGACATGAAAAACAATGATGTTTAAATATTTGTCTAATAAACATGAAGCTTCACCTATACAATGAGGAGCTTGGCTGTAGTATCTATATATCAGTTGTGCCATTTATGAACAAATGCAGACTCAGCCAAGTCAATAGAACGCGCAAGAGCAGCAGCTTTGTTCTGGCACTCTTGGTATTCATCGTCAGGATCACTGTCGGCGACTATGCCGGCACCGGCTTGAAGGTAGGCAACCCACTCTCGACGCCATTCAATGTCTTTGTATGAGTACATTGTGTCATACCTGGTTCCGCTTGGAAACACCATTGTCCTCAGAGCAAGAGCAATGTCCATCTCACCACAGAATGATATGTATCCAAATCCTCCACTATAGGGTCCCCTCCTTGTTGCCTCTAACTCATCAATCAACTCCATCGCCTTCACCTGCATCCATCATATTAAAACAAATCATTCAAAACACAAAATACAAATCAAAATTCAAAATGTAAACAATAAATGTTTCTCAAACCACCTTAGGTGCTCCACTGACAGTTCCAACAGGCAATGCAGCTCGTAAGACATCCCAACTAGTCAAATGCTCTTGCAACTCTCCAGTAACCTAATGCATTTTCATGCAAAAATACTATTGTTATATAATTATTACATCAGTTTTTGAACACCAACTAACAGCAAAACATTCTTACCGTTGAACTTATGTGCATGACATGAGAATATCGTTCAATATCCATGAACTTTTCCACTTTAACAGAACCACTTTTTGAAACCTACAAAAGATAATTCCTATCAGAACCAAATATAAACTATCTTTAGAATAAATTACTTATAAATATTGTTATCTGTTACAAATAAATGAAGAATAATTATTCAATTTCTCCATGGAGGGAAGGAAAGGAGTATAACTGTGTAACTCTGCACTGTCACTTTTATGTAATGGAAATCATCGGTGCAAGTGGATTTTTCTATTTTGACGTCGTGATCATGCTAATCGAGAATGGATAGGATTGACACAAATTTTGGGGGATCATAAAGTTCAACTCCAAGTAGAGAAAAACAATGTTGGAAATAAGAGTGGCCATATTTTTGTTTTACATATAATTGACTAGTTATTGCTTCAAGACACCTTAAACAGTATAACCAAATAGGAGTATCCATTAAAATCAACTTTCATAACAAACCTTTCCAACATCATTGCGTCCCAAATCAACCAACATGACATGCTCTGCACACTGCTTTTCATCTCTCAGCAGTATTGCTTCTAATCTTGCATCTTCTTCAGGTGTTTTCCCCCTTCTAGAAGTCCCAGCCAATGGACGGTTCACAATCTTATTCTGTTCATGACAAAATCAAAATAAATATCTGTTTTAAAGTAAATAATGCATCAATTTAACGAACCTAGTATTTTTTTTTTCATTTAAGATTCATGACAAACACCCCAGAGGCTAAGTAAGAGTATGATTTAATTTAAAAATCTAATATATATACTAAATCTTACCTTATTAATGCGCGTAAGAATCTCTGGACTTGAAGCAACCAGAATACATCCCCTAGCCTGTTTAGGAAATAAATAATCATCAGAACATGAAAGAGCTGAACCAAATCTTTCCTAAATGAATGAAGCTGTTTCAGATGTTACACAGAAATAAACCTGCACATAGGACATATATGGACTTGGGTTCACAACTCTCAGTGCTCTATAAATTTCAAATGGATCAGCAAATGTTCTTCGTTCAAATCTCTGACTTAATACAATCTGAAAAATATCCCCTGCTTTGATATGTTCTTTTGCTTGAAGGACTGCCTCCTTGTATGCTTCTCTTGTCATGCTTGACTTCTCTAAAGGTGGACCAAATTGCTGAGTATGTAAATCCACAGAGCCTGGAGCAAGCCTTGGCCTAGAAAATGCACACTTTAAATTAATTTTGATTCTATAATAACAAGTACATCATAAAGAGAGAAACGGTCAACAGATGACTTACGGTTGGCCATCTTGTAATTTTGCCACTAATTTATCTAATCGTTCCATTCCATCCTTGTAAGCACTCTCAGCTGAAGCGTACCGATCAACCCTCACCCAAAGTATCACATATGCTTTCTGTTATGCCGAATACAAATAGCAATTAAATATAGAAGTTATGAATGAGTCCTAAATTTCATCCATATTAACGCAATTGAATAATCTTGACCCATAAAAGTACCAATTAAGAATGCTCAATGAATTCTGTACCAGCGCTTGGAAAACGTTTCATCCTATCAATAACACATTCATGGTTTCTAAGCCTATAAATCATTATTTGTCCAAATATGTAAAAGAGGCATGTACATGAACCTTGAAAAGTGAAAACATTCCCTTGTTTATTCAATCAACAAAAAACCAACTTTAAAAAATAAGATAAATAAGTAATCATAACATTTTGTATGCGAAGCATCTGAATTGAGTTTTTCTTAAAATGATGAGATGATATACAGATGTAAAATTAGGTATACTGAACTACATGTCAACGTTAGAACAAGTACACTTTCATGTGAGAAACACAACATTAGATACCAAGCCCAACAATGATATTTGTGAAGCATACAAAAACATGTACCTTTTCAACATGATCAAACACAATCACATTCTCATAGAGGCCTAGATGTATGTCAGCGAGGTTCCTATCATCCTTAGGAGCTTTTGAAAATGGTAGCTTTTTCTTTTCCACATAACGAACTGTGTCATATGAGAAATAACCTGCCCAACCACCTAGAAGAGCAGCTTAAAAAATGTCAAGAATATATCTCTTTCTCACACATGTGCACATGTGCACCCGCACACATGCGATTAAATGCAGAAATAATGCATAACGTTCTCTTTGGTGCAACAACAAATAACGCATCATGCAACGACAAATAAAGCATAATGTTTAATCATGCAACGACAAATAATACGGATTCGATTGACAAAATATTAATCTAAAACGATAAGATTTCAGTTTCAGATACTATAAAAGCATAAACGACAAGCTGATTTAATGTTCTCTTATAAGTTTCATGAACTAAAATCGCACTTACTGAAACTGAAAAGAACATAACAGTTTCAAAAGGATAAATATATGTTAAAATATAGTTGATATATGCTCCGTGCATGCTCCTGATTATTTCATATCCAAATTATGCTTGTCTAAACATTTACTAAATGAATCATAATTTGACAACATCCTATCTTAGCACAAAGGTGTTATAATCATAAAACTCTTACCACAGAATGCATCTGGAAGCTCATCAATGAGATAGGGTTTCCAACCCTCTGAGATTTTTCTTGGAATCATCATAGGGTCATCAACAATTTTCTCGGTTAAATTCCCAGATTCATGGTCAATTATTGTAACCTTATTGTCTTTTGCCACAACTTCCATCGTTGGTTGTGCTCCCACAACACTATAGCGACCCTGCAATCAATACAGTCTTGAATTTCAATAAAAGAGACAAACAACTCAAAAATTCAAAATCAGAAAACTACTAAGAGCACACTCACAACGCTCCCTGACAAACTAGGCTCTGCAGACTCAAAGAGAAAGCTTGGAGCCTCCCGATCATCCTCCTTAACCAAAATTCTGTATGCAAGAACAGGAGTAAGCTGGTCAGAGAATAAGCACTGACAGAGAGGAATCAAGTTCCCATTCTTTGAAGCATCTACAAACTTTCTCTCTTCCTCAACTGCAAAAGTAGTATCCATCGTACATGTTCAGTTCAAGATTAAAACCAATAAAAAAAAGTTATAATTAATTTGAAAACAAATAATAAACAAAATGCTGATGAATCTATTCAAGAGGGTGCACCAAAGTTATCTAAAATCAATCAGACACTATTTTTATTCAAGAGGGTATCCACACATTTACCAGATGATGTCAAAAAATAAAAGAATTTATTCAAACATGGAAAAAAGACTACAAGTTTTCAATCAACATACCTACCATATGGATGGCAACTCGGTAGGTACAGGTTTTAATATTCCAGTCCCCATGTCCATACTCTATATTCATCTTCATTCTCATATCCAATTCATTCTCATATCCAATTGGATATTAGATATATCCGTATTCATCCAAAAATTAATTAATTTTTTTAAAAAAAGATTTTAAAAAAAGATTTTAATATACAATATCAATTACATTAAGTTTCATTTCACATAAATTTAAAATAGAAAAAAAATTACAAAAATCAAGTAAATTCTAAAAAAAAACTAAATTAAGTTTCTAAAAATTTAATCCAAAATACGAGAACACATATAAGAATATATTCATCTTCATATTCATACCCAATTTAATAAATAAGATATTAGCCATATTCGGTGAAATCGAGATTATCCATAGTTACGAGATTATTTGTGGATACTAACTATACCCATTTTCATGTCATTCTAGTCTCCATAGTTAAGAACATTCAAGTCACCATTTAATAAATTTGTATTTGTTTTTAACAAATACCCATTCACCGGTCACCACAGATATAGTAGAATGTATTCAATCATGGAGCAAGATTAAATCTTTATAAACAAGACAGCTACCCAGTTGCCATTCTAGCCATGGTTCCATGTGGGTATTCAAAAGAAGGCTCACCATGGGAAGTGCTCGAGAGTGACGAGCACCTCAACGTGAGAGGAGCGCGTGAGAGTGAGACGGCGGCGAGTGACGGCGGAGAGAGGCGGTTGGCGGGAGGAAGCATGCGACGTGAGAAGGCTAAGGAGGCCTTGGCAGACATGGCGGACGTAAGGGACATTGGAAGTATCGCAGAGAGCATTTTTGCAAAATTCAGTCAGTAGCAGCGCTTCTAGTTTTTCTAATTTTATGCATTCACTCAGTGCTTACTTCTTAGTGCTATTTATTATTATTTTTTCTTCTTCTTTTGCTTCAAGTTCCAATGCTGCGTAAATCCTGTATTCCGTTACAAAGCATTTCATTTCATTACCTGTACAATGAACCTCGCTCTTTTTTCTCATGTGTATCAAGTTCATTCATTCAAATTATTTTTCTCTCTTCACTTAATTATAAAGCATAATTAATTAATTAATTAATTAATACAATTTATTTCTATTTAATAAATTATAAGTATCTTCTTCTTTATGGTTTTAATTTTATTGAGAGCAGAACTCGTAATCCATGAATTTAATACAATCGTATATTTAGAACTCGAACTTAAAATTACTAATCAAGTCTTTCTTAAGATTTTTATGTGTTTTTTTTTCTATAATATAATAAATTTTTATCTTATATTTTTCATAGTATGTCCTAAGTCTTTTTTTTTTTATACAAATTCATAAAAGATAATAAATAAATAAAGAATAAAAATTTTAAAAAATATATTTTATATTAAAAATAATATAACACAACAATAATTTTCTAAAATAAATATTATTAGAAACCAGAATGAAAAAAGGGCATTTCCCACCTTTAAGAGAATAGTAGTTTTTTTTCCCGTTAATGAGTAGTTTTTTTTTATGATATTTAATTAAAAGATAAAATTGTGAACTTCAAAAGTTGATTGTGTTTTTAATATTAGTAATAAATATAAATTAAAAAAAACTAATTAATATGAATCCTCTAAACTCGTATATAAGAAAAAAAAAACTAAAATTTATGTATTTACATATAAATAAATTTTAATTAATTTGACCTTATTTAATGGTATCATTTCAAAAATATTCTTTAAATTAAATGTGATTATTGCTTCTAATAAATATTATTGAGAATAGTTTAAGAAGTAATATTTAATTTTTATATGAAATTAATAAAATTAAATAAATTTAACTAATTTTTTAATATATGTAAATTTCAATATTTTTTTGTTTATATATGATTCTAGATAAAGTAACATTAAAAAACTAAAATGACATTATTTTGTAGCTTAATATTTCTTTTTCTTACATGAAATTTATATTATGGGATAGAACAGGTATCAAGAATAAAACAGAGTTACTGAAATAGAGTCTTAATTAAATAAAAGATATTTTGAAGATGATAATACTAAATAGAATAAGTTTGCATATATTTTGTTCCATTATTCATTAAAAAAAGTTATGCATTTAAATATAAAGGGAGTATATCGTAATGTTTTTCACAGCATTATTAATACGAAGTATAAACTAGTTTTACTGATAATTAATTTTTACTATAAACTTGAAAGATTACTTTTAAAAGTTAATTTTGCTCGGTCACAAATTTTTTCGAACTCAAAACTTATTTAAGCGACCAATATCCGATCCTACTCTAACCACCAACATATTAATTTGTATTATAATATGTGGAATAATTTAAAACCCCACATTTATTACATATTAACTTATATTATAATATGTGGAATAATTTAAAACCTCACATTTATTTTTATTAATTTTCCTACCTTTTTACAGTAAAAGTTAAATGTATCTTATATTTTTATCACATTAAATGTATTCAATTTTTTATATAATACTTTTTTTTCAAAGAGCTAAAAAAATTAATAGGGAAACATAATATTATTCAGTTATACATCATAAATGACTACATTTTGGGAATTCTAAAGGAATAGAGGAAGCACCAAACGATTTCTATATCTGTATTTCTTTTTCCAAATCTACACTCGTGGACAAATCTTAGTTCTTGTTTTTTCTATTTTAGAAAGAAAAAAAAAAGTATTATCGTGCACAATTCATGTGTTTTTTTTAATGAAAGATGAAAACGAAACACAAAATCATGTCACATCGTCGAGTAACAATCCATCCAAAGACTAAGTTATTATTTCAATAACTTTTTAAAAATTTGTATTTCTCATCATCGAATCGTAACTGCCACACAATTTTACGAATAATTTCATGGTTTACCAAAATAAAAATTAATACAAATGGTATCATTCATTCTAATAATTTTAATATTAAAAATACCCGCTTAATGATACTTATAAGAATTTATAAGAGTATTATGCAAATAATCCAACGTATTAATTAAAAAATAAGAGAAAGTGTATAGAGCTTGTTGAAATGATAGCCAACATAAAATGATTAATTTATTAATAAGTGCAGAATTTTTTATTTTTGTAAATACGAATTTGGATATTAACTTTCTTAAATATAAATTTAGATATAAGTACATTAATATTTTACCAAAATCATACTCGTCATCATCATCTCTATTCATACCTTATGTAATTATTTTTTATTCATTTGTAATTTATTTCTACAATGTCTTTAACTTTTAGTTTAAAATAATTTTAATCGATACACTTTGTCCATATAAAATATTTTATATTTATAATAAATTATAAATTAATTTTGATGCAATTTTTATTATTAGAATTAATAAACTTATCATCTAATTAATTTATAATTGAATTACAATGTAAAACTTACTATTAATTTATATATTTTTAAAAATATTATCTTTTTAATCTAATTGACATTTTAATATAAGGAGTATGACTGACAATCTCTTCTCAATCACATTTTTCATCCATAAAATTCGAATTCGAATACGAAACTTAAAGAATTTCAATTCACTTATATCAATTAGTTATTGATACTCTCGGTTTTCCTTTTAATTTTTATTATAAAAAAATATTTATATTTATTTATCATTTTTAAAGTTCAATATTAAATATTTTTTGCCAATTATACTTTTACTACTTATTCAACTTTTAATTAATTTGCATATTAACTAATATACGTGTGAAAAAAATGAAATAGAGGTATAATAAAGAAAAAAACTGTAAAATTATTTTATTAAAAAATATTATATTTATTAATTTGTGTATAAAAACTTTAAATAATTATTAAAAAATAAAAGTAGTACAATATTATCATTTAATTATGTCGTGAATTTAATTCATAACCATTTAAATAATATCATTTTTGAAAATTACTAAGATTAGTTTAATAATAAAAATTTGAAATAATAAATACAAAGTTTTAAATTTAAACCTTATTCTAATCGAAATAATTTGTATGAAATATACATTAAAAAAATATATATCATTTTTGATTATTTATTTCTCTCCTTCGTTCATTACTTTTCAAACTTCTATATCATAATTATATAACTTTTATTGTATCGTAGAAATATCATTTTCCTTTAATTATTACCGATGTGATATAGCGTGTTGAGTTAACCTTTTCAAGAGACCCATATCCTGATTCAATAATATCACATGTTATGTTCACAATTAAAATTTGTATTGCGTGTGATTTACTTTTGTAAATAATAAAATGATGAATTAACGACGGGACTTAGATTTATTCAATTAAAAATTAAAAACCTTGATTGAAAAAAAAATTATTGAAAAATTTAAATTTAAATTGTAACACTCTAAATTTTTGTTAATTATTTTTTTAGCAATAATTATATGTGTTGAGGTGTAGTGTTAAAAGATTTTGAGGTTAAGAAATTCTTGAAAAGTCTTTAAGCGTTTTAAAGGATTTCTCTAAAAAATGTCTAATTTGACTACGAGGAAAAAAATATATAAGATATTTTTTTAGAATTGAGTTTCATGAATTCAATTTTTAAGAACCTTAGAGAAAGAAACTCTGAAGTTTTGATCCTTCTTATTTTACTTTCTAGATTTTACAGGTATGTAGGATCATAGTTGATCAACTGAGTTGGTGATTTAAGGCTTGTGAAGTTAAGAATCTATGTTGGTGTGGAGTCTCGGACCTTGACTTCTGTTTCTTTTTCTTCTTTTTCTTCTTCCCCTGATTCACTTCGGATTAGAGGTAATAAAGAGAGTTAGAACTTTGGTTCCTGATTGAGTTATTGGTTTGTATGTTGATTGATTTCATCCAAAATTGTTGTTGTAATGGTATGATTTGAATTGAATGATTTGAGTTAGGATTTATTACTTTGAATCTTGTTGGCCTGAACAATTTCGTGGTTGCATGTTGGATTTTGCTATGAAATGAATTATGGATGAAGCATATGTATATTGTGTGACATTGCATGTTGGTATTTTTTGCTTTTCAGGTGGCTTTGAGCCAAATTTGTGATCTACAAGTGTAGAAATCATAATCGCGTTGAGCATACCTTCATGACATCAAACGTGGTTTCAATCAGAGGTTATTTATCTTACTCATGTGGGGCATAAGATTGGTAACATTAGGTGTGAGAAGAGAGAATTGTCTCGAGTTGAAGTGGTGTTGAACATGGTTTGAATGGCGTTAGACATGAGGTGAGAGAATTAACTCTATCTGGATTAGTATCGGGTGCCAAAGGAGTGGCACTAGGTGAGAGGAAAAAGACTCATCTCTGCCTGGTATGGAGATGCGAGCAAGACTTTGTCACGCTAAGTGTGAGGACATTTGTAACAACCCGACTGGTCTCACACTGTCTATAGTGTTCAAATACAAGTATAAAATAAAATTTAACTGCTAAACAATTATATATATAACAAGAATACACAACTAAAAAGTCTCATAATATATATAACTGCAAGTAGGGAAATAATACCCTATACAACAACTAGGTATTCAAAAGCTATCAATCAACTAACTACAACGTCAGCCCTCCTCTTGAGTCCCGAAACTCACCTAGTCCAGTAGAGCACCTATCCTGATCTATTTGCATACCAAGGTATGGTCATCGCAGTCCCAACCACATAGGGAAAACACGCTAGGGTAAGCTCACAACAATAATCATAAAAAAAATAGCATCAACATATAGTAAACAGCAATAGAATTCTACTTTTAACTTGCAACTTAAAGAAACACAACATCTTCAACAATAGATATACAATATCATCTACTAGCAACAACATTTTGAACACATCGCACTTTATTCAAATTGGCCGCTTGTATTCGGTATAGCTTGGCCTGGCCCCTATACCGTGGTCGCTTCATACACGTGTGCCTCGACCTTGCCCACACATGGGACCAACCAAGTCCTAGAGGAGAATAACACATCATCCACTCCAAGGGATAACTTTCCA